ACGGTTGATGTCACTTGATTGTTTATGAGCATTTATTCATTGGAACTAATAAGTACCTTCTGAAATATAGTTCTTGCTTTTTCCAGATACCAACAGATAGAAGAGTTTTCCTTCTTAATCACATGTGCCCCAATCTAATAAATTGGTGAGATTCTGAATACCATATGGGATAATATCATTGGTCTTCTTAGAATGCCTGGAAGTTTAGGTCTGAATTTGCTTCATCCAGAAGAACAGCAAGATGGGTTAACCGGAAGCTCTGGAGATGCTAAGAAACTAAGTAATGTATCTCCAATGTCCTACCAGCTCACCTGGGGATGAAAGCCCGGGTCTATTTATTGTCTCTGTTAAAGCAGCACCTTCAATTTCAGAAACATGACTATTTTCATTACATTTTCTATTTCCCTTCAGATTTCATGATCCCTTTGAGTAGAACCTGCTACTGCCACACGTGTGATGGAGGGAGGATAGAGTCTCCTTGGTGGCCAGGTGTGATGCTGAGGGTGAAAACTGACGGAGGAAAATCCAGGGAAGGGGATGGAGGTGTCGGGAGGAGGGCAGTGTCAGGCCAGTGAAGACTGGGGATAATGTTGGTGAGGAAAATCCGGATTAGATCGTGTGCCCTAAGGATCTTGGACTGTATTTAGCAGGCAGCAAAGTGTCAGTAAAAGTGTTTGAGTAAAGGTTTTTGAGTTTGGATACAATTCTTCTATGTACTGTGTTAGATATTCCTTCCAAATATATGTTATTCCCTAATCAGGTAGGCATGCCACCTAGGTCTTCACCCAAATTGCAGAAACGTTGAACAGGGCAGGATAGAGAACAGAGCTCAGCAATGTACCATTAGAAACCCTTTGTAAGGGAACAATGCACCCTGAGTGACATCAGCACTTTTGGGGTGTACCTTTCAAACTAACAGCAATTTGCTGTATTGTATTGTCATTCATTAAAATCCCCTTCTGATTTATAAAGTCTTCATGAGGAACTTTGTCATGTTTCACTGAGGAAGTCCTCATTGTCCTCCATGATTCCAGCAGAGAAAACCAGGTTTGTCTGGTACATCTTGATTTCAATGAATCCATGCTGGTTCCTGGTGTTCACATTCAAAGCAATTACCAGCTTTCCATTTAATCATGGCATTTAATAATAACTCTAGGATCTTGCCAGAAAAGTCATACCAACTGTTATATATTTGGGGAAGAAGCATATGAGTTCCTTGCAATAAAGTAGGACTAAGAGCAAATGGGAGAGATGGTAAGGCTCAATGCTGAAAGGGTATGACAAACTCAGTTATGATTCGGTCACATGTTAAATCTAGGATATTCAAGAAGAATAGCACGGCAAACAATAGCAAAAATAAGCAGCGCATAGGACTCAAGACTCAAAGGTAAGTAGGCCTTTATCATCCCACATGACCATGAGGCAGTAGGGGCCCAACTGAGTGATAGCTGCTTGGGGATAGGGCTGCCACCACAACCCAGGTTATCAGAAAACTGTTACGTGCCCTGCTGTAATCCCACATTCGTGCCTTCGTAAGAGCACACCACAGTGTAATCACTTGTGTCTTTTCTGGCTTTTCCGTTGCACTCAGCAAACTCTGTGAGAACAGAGACCACGTCTTGGTCACTGTTACCACTGCAGGCTCAGCACAGTGCCTGCCATTCAGTAAATGCTTGTTGAACAAATTTTGCCCAAGTCCTCAATTTCTCATCTTGCCCTACTTGTCCTACTCAGGCCTTGAAACACCTAAGCAAATTTGGTACCTGAAATATTCCTGTGAATTCTTCGGTCCCTAAGCTAGATGTGAAAGCGAAGTTCCAACAGTGACCTGGGCTTCACTCCTGATTTTAAGGTCATGGTTGCTTATCTTAAAGGATGTGTGACTGTGTGCCTTCATTTCCCAGGGATCCAGCACGGTGCAGGAGGGCGAACACCAGCCTTTGTGTAAAAGCTGGTAATTCTTAGCTATGATCTAGACACAGACCACTCACAGTCTGCAATGGAGGACTGAGATGGCTGGATAAAATGCTCCTGGGTCCCCATGTGGCTCAGAACTCTCATCACTACAAAGGGTGGGAAGGATAATCAGAATACTTTCTTCCTTGTAAATTGCCTTTCCTTCTATCCTTAATAGAATTTATGTCTGCACTTCTTTGATCTACCGTAGCTGGTAGCAGTTTCAGAATTTCTATTCAAGAGGAGCTTAAGGACAACAGTCTGAATGGGGGACCAGAAGACTTTTTTCTTTAAGCTCTATTTGCATAGCAAATACACTGTTTTTACTGACATTGCATATTTATTTTGGAGGGTGTTCTTGGATATAAGAGGGTGCTAAGGACTCCCAATCCACCCCACTGCTGAGAGTACATCTATTTTTAGTGCGGAGACATTTGAAGTAAAGGAATAGGAAGGCTTGATAAGAGAGGTTTGACTAGGTCTCTTTTGCTATTGCTATTCACATTTGTAAACCTACGCAGGTGAGAATTACCCAATATGCTCTCAAAAAAAAGATGTGGGGGCGCCTGGGTGGCTCAGATGGTTAAGCGTCTGCCTTCGGCTCAGGTCATGATCCCAGGGTCCTGGGATCGAGCCCCGCATCGGGCTCTCTGCTCAGTGGGAAGCCTGCTTCTCCTTCTCTACTCCCCCTGCTTGTGTTCCCTCTCTCCTGTCTCTCTCTCTGTCAAATATATAAATAAAATCTTAAAAAAAAAAAAAAGATGTGAAAGTTTGAAAAAGCAGAGTCAGCCACGGGAATAAGCACTAGACTGTATTTATTAGGTCTGGGACTCAAAGAGATCAGTACAGTCACAAGGAAATGGGCAACTTGACGAAAGAAGAGTCAGGCTTGAGGCGTCCAGTTTATCACACAATTATGCATTTATTTCAGCTATGGGCAGATACAACAGAATATAAGATATGACCTCAAGGAACTTGCAACCTGGTTGGGAAGATAAGAGAATGCCTGCGAGTTTATCATTTAGGCAGACTTGTGAAACTACTCTTTAGTGTTTACTGTTCCTGCTGGTTATTCTCTTTGCCTAATTATGTAGGGAAAATAGAACGAAGGGAAAATAGATGGGAAGGGAGGGGGATGTGGTGACAATATTAAGAGTCTTAGGTCATGCGCTTCAAATTTAAAGTAATGCATTCACAGTTTTAAAGCTGGAACCTGCGTCTGACATCTCCCTGGGCCCTCTTATTTTGCAGAGGAGAAAACCAGGCCTGTCTGGCAAAGTACCCCAGCTGGTACGCGGCAGGACTAAAACCAGAAACCAGGTTCTCTGATTCCCGGTCTAGGGTCTTTGCCATCACAATGTAGTGCCTGGTGAGGTAGGATGACTGGAGTCACGTCATACGGGGGTCTATCCTGAAGATAGATGTTTAGATGATTTTCAGAATTATTTTATTACCTACATCAGGAATTTGGTTAGTATGACAGTTTTCATCAATCCTAATTTCTCAGTTACCGAAATAGAATCCATCAGTGCTGAAATTCCTAATTCTCACCAAAGGGGTAATTCAATAATTTGAATAACAGGGGCGCCTGGGTGGCTCAGCCGTAAGCCTCTGCCTTTGGCTCAGGTCATGATCCCAGGGTGCTGGGATCAAGTCCCGCATCGCATTGGGCTCCCTGCTTGGCGGGAGGCCTGCTTCTCCCTCTCCCACTTCCCCTACTTGTGTTCCTGCTCTTGCTGTCTCTGTCAAATAAATAAATAAATAATCTTTTTAGAAAAATAATAATTTCAATAACAGACCAGAACGTGGTGTGTTTTTAGCTTATATTCACCCATCCCTCCGCTTTGTTACTTTCAACTGTCTGACGATTTGCAATTCTCTTTCTCTCATGACCTCTTTTCTGAGTCTCCGTTTCATATTTCAACTGCTGCATCTCTACCTGTTTTGCCTCCCATGACCTCGAACTCTACAGGAAGCCAGCTTCTCCCCGACAGATCCCTGGTCCTGTCAACGGCACCATCTTTCTTCCAGTCATCCGGGTCTGAAACCTTGGCATCATCTCTCTTTTCTTCTTCTCTTCCACACCCCCAATTTCTGTGGCCTCTTCCTGAGAGGCCATTCCTCCTTTTCGAGGTCCATTTCCTACCTCCTGCTCAGGTCCTCACACTCTCATTACCAGGAAGGGACGGTATTAACCTCTCTCGCTGCCTCGCAGTCTTGCCCTAGCAACGCATCCCACAACCGCGCGCGGACTGCTCTCTCTCTAAATCACCAAAACCAAACACCTATCTTAATTCTTTGATTCTAACTTCCCCCAGTTCCCCGGTGCCCATAGATAGACGATAAAATCTGAACTCAAGCCCCTGGATAATGCTGCCAGTGCCTCTGCGACCTCGTCTCTCCTTTCCTCCCCAATCAAGAGTTACCTGTCTTCCCAGTACTTATTGGCACGTCTTGCTCACCCCTGGAATGAATTCTAGCGTCCGCATCTGAACTCAGTTTTGGTAAAGTCACCAAGCAGGGCAGCCCACCATGACCCCTCCTCAAAATTACTGATGGTCCCACCCAGGCAGCCTTCAGCCCTCTCTCCTCGAAATCTCTTTCCAGGTCTGGGCCCTTCCCAGCCGGAAGAGGCACGAAGCAGCCTCCCATCTCTCTGTATTCCCAGCGCCTCTGACAAGGTAAATGTTGGTTGATGGGGCCTGAGCCGACCCGACAGGTGGTGGGAACTTGGGAAAATGAGGTGAAGCCGCCGCGAGGCCCCGGGGCACGCCTCCCCCTCCCGGCGCCCCGCACTGCAGGCCCGGTGCTCCTCGCACTGAGTTCCTCCATCCCTCCACCCGGGTGGCTGCCGGGGCGCAGGGGCGCAGGGGCGCGCGGAGCCCTCGGGGGGCGCAGGCCCGGGAGGCCGGCCCGCGCGTCTGAGCCGCGGCGCCGGCAGACGGGCCCGGCCGTTCCGCGCTCGGAGGTAGGTGGTGCTGTTGCCGTAACTGTCTTCCTCATTGGCGCGGGGCGGAGAGGCGGAATGTTCAACTCCTGACTCGGGCGGAAGCGTGGGAGCCGCGCGGGCCGCCGTCCTCTCGACCCCCCCCGACCCCCACGGTCGCCGGCCCTGCCCTCGCCGCGCGCGGGGCCTCGGCGCCCCCCGGCTGCTGCTCGCGCCCGGCCCGGGAGCCAGGTAAGGGGCCGGCCGGAGGCCGCGGCGGGCGAGGGTGGGTCGGAGGCCCGCCGCGCTCGCGAGGCTCGGGGCCGAGGCCCTGGCGGCCTGCGGGGCCCCGCGGCGCACCCTCCCCGACCCGGGGCCCGCGGAGGCGGCTGCGGCCGGGGCGAGCGTTCCCGGCGCCCGCGGAGTTTCGCGCGGCGGCCCAAAGGGCCCGGCGAAGTTCGGGCCGGTCCCACGCAGAAGTTGGCGTCCGGAAGGGCGGGCGCAGCCTGTCGGGCTTTCCCGGCCCTGCGCGCGGCGGGGTGCGGGGGCCGCCGCTTCCCCTCGCCGGGCGCCGGACACCGCCGGCCGAGCCCGCCAGCCCCGGGGCCTGAGCGTCGCAGCGCCGGCCTGGCCGCGGGCGACCCGGCCCCTCTGCGAGGCGAAACGCGAGTCTTCCAGATGAGGGCAGGGCGCGGGCCACTTCCCAGCAGAGGGCTGTGCGTGCGAGGAGGGACCACTGACTTCTGCTTTCCGCCCGGCCGGGGTGGCTTCTCCCACCGCGAGCCGCCCTCCGCGGCCCCCCCCGGGGCAGCGTGCAGCTCGCGCCGCCCGCACCCTCCAGCGGCCCCTCTGCCTCCCACGTGGGGCGAGGGTGCTGTTCGGCGACCCCGTGGCGTCCCTTGGTCCCCGGGCTCCGAGACTTGCCCCAGGCCGGGAGGGCCAAGCGGAGGTCCTGACAGCTTGCAGACCAACTTTACTACGGACCCGACGAGATGGCTCCGGATTGCCTAAAAAACGGGGCCGGTCGTTGTTAGATTGCTGAAAATGTGTGTTTCTGATGCGCCTCGAGATGTTCGCGAAGCCCTGTTTATGGAGGACTTAATTAGTATTTCTGTTAGTTTCTTTAATAACGAAAGCAGCATCATTTAGTGGCCCGATCCAATGATATTACAATAAGCAGCTCTCTATTAATAACGGTGTTTTAGAATCCGCTTACAGAATTAATGCGAGGGTATCTGAGTTAAGATGGTTGCTCAAGTATGCTCCTGTGTTATCCCTGAAGCTGTTTTAGGAGAGCCTTCTTGCTTTCCTGACCTCAGTTGAAGTGAACGGTCGGGATTCAGTGGATCCGAACCAACAAACACATAGAAAGACAAAAATAAACAAGCGCTTCAAGGCAGTTAATGGCTTCTTTGTGGTAGGCCTATCTCCACAGCGAAATTTCATGTCGTTTTTTGATTTTCAAAAAAATACACGACGGATGCATTTTAATTATGGTTTTGGTCATTTGTAGAGCCTTTGTTTAAAGTTCCTGCTACAATAGTGAGAGATTAGGGAGATTGCAAATGAACATGAATTTGGTTTGTTTGGAAAGAGTGAATTAAGATAAAGGAAAATGGTCCCATAAAGCAATGTGTACTGTTTATTTTAGTCTTTCACAACATAATTCCTATTATAACTTTTCTGGGAGTTTTTTTCTTTTTTAACCTGGAAAATATTGTTTGATTCAGAAGTTATAGTGATGATAATTCCAGAGTAAATGACCACAAGGCAGTGGCAAGGACCCTTTTTTTTTTGTCTAGGAAAGCAAATAGATGACTGATCTCTTCTTACTCTTTTAGGGAACACATAAGACACATTAAAAAGAGAGAGAGAAATACCCAAATATTAAGCAGGAGGATTTGGATCTAAAAATGGATGGTCAAAGATCTTGGGAACTAAGGGACCTTCTTGCCAAATAAGGAAACTTGGCAAGCTGCACTGTGTATTTTAAGTTAGCACAAGAGTGAGTGTTATTGGCAATATATTGGCCGAGTGCCTATCTGGAATGAGCGGTGGAACTGACTTTGACAGGGCTACAAAACTATAAACAGGAGTTATGAGGGGTGTGGAGGGAATAATCTAGTCAGAGAAAACACGGGGAAATTACAGTGATGTTTCGTGAAAAGAGGTCAGACATACAGTGAAGCTATTAGTGTGGCGTAAAAGAGAAAAATGGATAGTTTTTAGAAATTGTTAGATTCAGAGAAAAGAGAGGAGAGAATCAATGATTCTTTTCTTTTTAAACCCAGAAAAAGGTGTTTGTGTATAGTACTTCTTGGAATAAGAGAGCTTTGAATCTGTATCCAGAGATACTGAAAATAAAAATCTATTTGGATCATTTGTTTTCCATTTTATTCTACCCAGGACAGATTGACAGGGAGGGTGTCTTGTCTATCTAAATGTAATAGGAATAGCTAAGGCACCTTTTGGTCTTACTGCAGTGAAGATTTAGGCTACTTCTTTTGTGGCTATTAACCTTTGCCCCACTACACCCAAATAAGCAAGAGTTCCAGCTGTGACCAGAAAACTGTACCTGTTAAGGAAAGAGAGCTATAAATGCTAGAGTTTAGATTGGTTTGCCTGATACATGGGTGCTTTTGTATCAGACCCTCCTACGGACAGCTGAAGCATCGATTATGCCCTAATAGCAGTTAAATAATCCCAACACAGGAGAAGATTCTGTGAGAACAAAGCAGCTGCGCATTGACACCCTAACCCCGCATCACAATTGCTAATAGGAAATTAAAGCCTCAAATTGAACTTTAGGTGGATAATAAGCAATCTAGTGATTACTGTCACGAGGAAAGGGTTTGCTTAAAGAAAAAAAAGGCAGATTTGAAGGAGGAGACAGAATGATACAGTGGGAAAAAGACATATGATATGGTGAAAAAAAATGATAACGACTCTGAAGTCAGAGCTGAGTCTGAATCCTGGTCATGTCACTTGTAAGTTAGGTGGTTGGCTTGGGCAGTTTTCACTCCCTTCATCATCCGTTTTCTCTCATGTGTAAATTGGGGACAATAATACCTGCTTGCTGCATAAGCATATGGGACAGCCTGTGGAAATGCTTGAACCAGCACCCGAAACTTCAGCAACCATACCTGAGTGGTAGAGAACATTTGTTTTTCCACATTCCCCAGTCAGACACAGAGCAAGCTGCTTGTTTAACTCTACCCAGGTAAGACTCGCCCTCGGTAGCTGGCCCCGATCCCAAAAGCATACTTCTGGTGAGCATGCAGGGCTGGGAGGATTTCCTAGCCACTCTCCTGCCTTAAGTATAAGGATTTGTAGAGCAGCTGTGTGTACCTCTGTGTTTATATACAACTTTATGATATTTTGGGGAAAGAATCTGAAGATTATTGCATTTAAATATCTATATGAGGAATTTGAAGAACTCGGGAGTGATATGAATAAGGGAATGTTATGACCTAGAAGACCAAAACCAAAGTTACTTGGAACCATTCTTATAGCTGGCTTCGAGCACAGCTTATCTTCAGGGGCTGACATCCTTCTTTCTGGAGTCTGTATAGGAAAACCAAAAACCAAGGCAGGCAAGACTCTCTATCTAAAGGTCATGGAATGAATCTTTGCTTATGAAACTTTCCTACCAAAGTACCCTGTTGTGGAGAAGAATGTATTTCTTCAGGGATCTGTAAATATAGCCACAAATACCACCCCCCATGTAAGCAAGCACTTTCTTTAAAATCTTGTACTTCATCTTAATTCATGTGAATGTTGCATTCTCTTCTGTTGAAGAGACCGGTACAGACAGTTTTATTGAACAAACCAGTACAGACACTCGTGGCGTGTTTATTCCCCAAAATCGACTTGTAGGACGGGTTTTTTTTTTGTTTTTTTTTTTAAAGATTTTATTTATTTATTTGACAGAGAGCTAGAGAGAGAGAACAAGCAGGCAGAGAGGCAGGCAGAGGGAGAGGGAGAAGCAGGCTCCCTGCAGAGCAGGGAGCCCGATGCGGGGCTCGATCCCAGGACCCTGGGATCATGACCTGAGCCGAAGGCAGCCACTTAACCGACTGAGCCACCCAGGCGCCCAGGACGGGGGTTTATTACACCTTCTGCACAGTGCTGGGTACTGCACATGTGGAGGACGAGGAGCCTGGTTCTGACAAATGGATGTGCACCATTAGGCTTTGCAGCCTAGCCCACTACAGGGGGTAACGCACTTCCATTTTGCAGAGAAAAGAATAGCAGTAGATCATCATCCAGAGAGTTTTTGTTTTTGGTGGTTATCCTGTGGCTTTCAGTGTGAACAAAGTTCTTTGCTTTGGGAACGGAGGAGAGGGAGGGGGGAGGGGAAAGGATAGTTGTAGGATAGAAATCCGGAATATGACTCTTACCTTCCCAGCCAGTTTGGGAGGAGAAATTGAGGAGTATGGCCCAGTCATCCATCGTCTTCATCGCTGACGGCGATCGCTGCTACTCCGCCTTGCCAGGGACTCTTAGGTTCGTGACTGTATCCCTGGGAAGGGAGACCATCCATCCTTTCTAGTAAGTTGATGTCCTAGAATACTCATAGGGTCGCTGCCTGGCTGTTGCAAGAATCGCCTATTCCGCATGCCCACCTCCCGTTGAACACTCTCTTCGATAGGCAGCTCACTACTAGACAGAGAGGCATATTTTCTTCTTTGGCAACTCTAATAACCAGGAGTTCTCTCTGTAATTTTTAGGTTGGCGATGTATAATATGGGGTCTTCCGTGGCCTTCTCTGGTTTTAACAATCCCCATTTGCTTTCATCTTATGTCGAGGTTACCAGGTTTTAACTGTCCTATTTACCTTTCTCTGGGAACATTCGTTCTAGGTAATTAGTCCAAGACTGTACCTATTTGTTAGCAGCCAGGATGGGTCAGATAGTTTCTGTTTGACAGAAAATGGTTCAAGGGTAGAAACAAAAGCCAAGTAGTAGAAGCATTGGGATGGGTAGGCCTGCTGACTGAAGTAAGCCTTGTTTACTCTTGTTTTCTCCCCCACCCCCACTGCCACCCCCAATCTGTGAATTCTTCTTCCAGCCAGCCCGTGGAAATGTGCCCTCTCAATGCTCCTTTACTCGTAGACTCTGTCCCAGCTCTCTTCCCAGGCCTCCAGTCCTTGGACACAGTGCCTCTGCAGGGACCCCATGTCACCGATCATACCTGCATCATGTCGCCTAGTTGGGCTTCTGTTAGAGCACACACACATTTTCACACAGTAT